TTTCTCGGTTGACCTTGATTCAATTCGAATAAAAAGACAAGGATGAATACCGGGCGGTAAAAAGCGCGCTCGCTTAACAATAGGGCTGCTTGAGGAGCGATGTTGAGTCGAAGGACCTCGTGGTTTTGCTACCACAATGCAGAAAGTCACGCCCTATAGCCCGTCCCTAACTGCGTGAAGCGTCGCATTGAAGATCATCACGGCGCAGTTGTCGAGGCTTCCGTTGTTGTTCATGCCTCCAGTGCGCAGCGGGAACAAGAGGGGAAATGGTTTAAATGAGAACACGTTTTCGTTTCTATTCTTTCGTGTGTGCGTACTGAAAATAACCGTTTTCACCGTAAACTAGAATCGTGAACACGCAAATAAATGTACTACCAGCGCGTATTGGGCATTAGAGCCCCGGTTCTTGAGGCGAATCCGGGGACACTGGTGGTATATGTGGTGTCTTGTAACGGTTCGATTTGCGGCGTCTGCTACTGGCACATGTGTTCCACGACGTGCTTCTAAATTTCCCACAGCTTTATCTTAGCATTTCGCCCTGTGACGTCGGGATCCCGTTAGCGCCGAGACTCGTTCGGAGCCGGCGCCGTCCCGCAAATTACCCCAAATTGCGACTCTGCGAATATTCATCTGCTGGGAGGTTAGGAGCCTTTTCTGCCCGTCAGCACGCACCCCGCGGATCGAGAACAGTCGGCCTTTTGATTTTACGCGTCGTATTAAGACCGAGAGATATAAGCTACAATTTGATGGGTAGCCATTTTACGTTTCCCGTGCCCCTTTTACGCACGGTTTCGGTATAATCTTTTGCCACGTGCGGTTGCTTCACTGCGTTCTCAGGAATGTGCATGGTCGGAGATTGGCTTTTTATATGTTGACACACAGCCCGGTACGTTATCGGGAAGATTGCACCAGCACCGCCGTGTTTTCTTCGTAGTTTTTTTTTTTTTTTTTTTTGTAAGAAAGAATATGGTTGAAATAGCGTGCGCGATGGGGACTACTGTGCCGCGTACGCGCGCTGAGTCGGATGATCCTAAATATGATGTAGTGCGGAAATTGTGTCGCATAATGTTTGTCCACTACAAATTTTTAAGAAAATCGTACTGATTTTTTTTTTTTATTTTTTTTTTGCGGACACGCGTTTTAGACATTGGTTTGTCTTTTTAATATAAAGGGATGGTGAACCGAAATTGGAATTTCAGAAAACAAAAACAATGCAGGAGCGGTAGGCGCGACGCAAAGCTGCCTCGCCGGTCTGCGCATTCCAGAGGAGTGACGTCATAGCCGCGGCAGACGCACTGGCGCCGCCGCGTGCCCAGCTGTGCGCCTCCGTTGCGCAGTAACCAAGTCTGACGCTGCAATGGAGCCGCTTGATAGCGCCTCTCATTTTGTGCGCATAAGCTCACGCTACGTATATCCTGGCATAGCCGAGCTAAGCCACCGCATTTCTCTTAGAAAAACGGTCATCCGTTCGAGATACCACTGTATGAGTGGTGTTTTGATGTTCGTAGCATCCCGTTGCACGCTTCTGCCGCCGTATTTCGTGGAATCCAGATTTCGGTTCAGCATCCCTTGAAGGCTGGTTCACACATTTGCAACGATTGCGTTCGTAATATCCAGAACACCAAAGAACCGTGACTCATGTTTTTCCGCGAAGCTGCTTTTGCATCGTGTGCCACGTTGTGTACGGCGAACATTTGTCCCGGTGACTTTGTCGTTCGTTTCGGTTGCTGCGAACCCGAGCGACGCACGTGAACCTGCAGCGTTTAGACGAACTACCTATATTATACGGGCCACCAAACTTCAGCGACCACAGGCTGTTCCTTCTGCCTAAGGCTTATCGTTGCGAACCCTGGCAGGCGATTGCACTGGCCGATTGTGCTTGGCTCTCGTGACCGACCGACTCTTTCGCCCACTTCACCCATTGTCGCAAAGATCGCGCACGCAGCAAGAACAAAGCGGCGAAGAGGATAACGGAAAGGAGGGCACCGATAACAAAAAGAAATAATATATAAAAAAAACGGCAGGAGCGTTATCTCTGCTTGGCCGCGCCGCTACAGGTGAAAAAGGGAGCCTGCCGCGTCCTCTGCGTGGAGTCGAGCCCGGGACGGGCCCTTGAGGTGGCGGTGCAGTTGGACGCAGCCCTAGTGCGTGTGTTCGTGCGTGTTGTGTGCGCCGCTACGGAACCTTTGGAAACGCCATGGATGACGACAAGGTATTTAGCGTTCGACGCCTTCTGGATACCCGACGACGGATTTCGGATATTCTCGAGACTTTACGTGGGGCTCTCCGAGCTGACGCCGATCCACCTCTTGGAATGTTTGTTGCTTCCATCGGCGTCAGGGTGCTCTCATAGGAATGTTCTCTATTCGCCTCGTCAACTCTTCAGATCGTTCGCATGGGCGGTGGCCTGCCTTACAAAGCGAATGGATGATTTCCCAACTTAGTCTTCGCTCCGCATCTAGAGCGCGCGCGCGCTTTGTGGGAGGGGAGCACGGCAAATGTGTGGTGGACCACCATGTCGGAAATTATCTCCATGTCCGTCCGGTTTTAGACGAAGTTGTCACCGTCCCACAGTGCTCTTCCGCGTACGCGGACCACCTAAAACTCGAAGGTAGGCTTGCGAGGACACGACTGATCCTTTACTCAAATGGGATTAAAAAGAACGCGCGTCGAGGCTTTGTCTTGTTAAACCGGCTTCTTAAAAATCGCATCATCTTAGGAAGCGCAAGCGGCGGCGAGCGCACGGATTGTACAGCGGGCGACCTCTCCCCTTTTTTCGTCATTCTGTCGCTGCGGCTTCTTTCTCGCGCGCCCAAACCATCGTGATTCCGCGCGCAGCTTCTCTCAGGTTGCGAACCTGGGTGTCGAAGCCGCCTCCGCCCCGGCGGCGGCGACCAAGTTCGCGAACCACCGCGCCCGCTATTGATTGAGGCGCGAAGGAGAGGTAGCGGGGAGCCGGCGTCAGACGAAGGATCGGGCGAGCGAGGGTGTGGGTGCGGACAAGCCAAATGGCAAGGGCAAAATTCGGGTGCCCTACGCACACCGCCGGTCGCGTCCCTCGCCGACGTCGTCTGCGCCGGGGTCGAAATGTCGGCTACCGCTGCGGGGTCACCCTGGACCCGGAAGGGGGGAGGGCCGCCGCGAGACGTGACCGGCCGGGCATGTGAGGACCGGCTGCTTCTCTTCCTGGCGGACGATCGAACCAACTCGCTTTATTCCTTTCTTGGAGATTATTCCAGTCTCCGTACCCACTTAGCGGCTCAAGCGCTATGTAGGATGGTCGCGAGCCATTTCAGTTCCTTTCTACATTTTGTAGTTTCGCTATCCACAGTTCTGGAGTCTCGTGCCCTAGAAGAGTTAAAGGTTCTGTCGACAATATATCTACTTACTAAATCCTACATACGATCATAATGAGAACGGGTTACAGCTGCCAGATTCAGAGGAGGGGGGTCTGGTGGGTGACCACTCTCTTAATTCTGCATGTGTAAAATTTTAGGGCGGGGAAAGTGGGGGGAGGCATATTTTCTCATACATTTGCAATGCCCCCCCCGCTCCCGACGATTGTGCACTTTAAACAACTCTCGTTTTCAGCATGTTGCAGTATTGCATTGTTTTCTTATTCATAGTCTGTAGTGCCAGACCCCTGGATAAAACAACTTCTGCTTAGTTGGAACAAATTTTGTCATTTGTCCCTTTCAAGACCTGCTTCAACTTGCATATGCCACTAGTTTATTTGTTCATATGTGCCTCACTTTGAACAATACAGTGAAAATGATCCATCAGAATACAGATATACACCAAGCAGGGTGCTAGTCTAGCAAGCTGGATAGTGTTCGGTCTTGTAGGCGTGCTTTATGTCTGATAAGCAGTTTATGCTTAAAGGAGCTGGGCAACAATTTCAGTGCTTTGCTTAAATAATTTGGGAGTTGGTGTCTCGACCTTTCCAAAGTAAAGAACAAGAAAAACGCTTTTGTCTGTATGTCCTAGTTTTATTTTAAAAATGGACAAAGATTGAGGTTTTCGGCACCTTAGCTCCTTCACCATTTTCCGAGTCACGTGTGCTGTGACGTCAGTGGGGGTCGTGCGAGGTTCCGGTGAAGCTCTGTCTCTAGAGCCATCAGTGAGCAGCAAGAACTCACCTCCGCATGATCATGTGCTGGCGCAGCGCAAACGATATTGTGAAAGGAGGGAAGTCTCATCGGGGTCCAACCATCCCCGTCCGACACTGCCCCCCTCCCCCTCCGGCTTCTGGCGGCTGTTCGCGGTAGCAGATAGAGCTGACGGTATTCCAGACGTAGGATTGATGACGCCATTAAAACTCCGTATAATAAAAGTTTTGTCGATGATACCAGGTTTTTGATGCATTTATATTTTTGTTGGAATGACAAGATTTATGGAAAAGTTACCTTTTATCGAGCAGGTATTCGCACTACTAGCTAGCTTTCTACAAGACACCCATTGACGTTATGCCACGTGGTGTTCTCGTGGCCGCCGCTCGCGGCCTCAGGTGGGGGAATATTCTAATTTTTGCCTCGCGATTACGCGGCGTAATCACAACATTTTGAAGGAAGGAGGTGTGTTTTCTGCCCTTCGTGACAAGTTGAACAGTGTCAAAAGTAGAAGATGCCAATTCTTTCAACGTTAAAATTGTTGCACAGCTCCTTCAAATATAAGGAGAAAAACTCGCACAACTCGGGCTGTGACATCAGCCCAAGTTGCACAGCCTGATGTGGCCTGACCACATGATGGGATTCTCTGTCTTGGAGAGGTGTCAGAGTTGCCAGGTGATTTATGTGGCACATACTTTGTTGATGTTCACCGGGTATATACTACTCCAGATGTCCAACATTGAGGTTTTGCTTTACTACTATCAAATATTACAATAAAAATTGCTTGTGCTGTGTGCTGTGTTCCTAGAGATCTCTAAATGGTGCTGCAAACTGATAATCACCTTTGAAGCTTCTCATGCTGATCCTGGCATTGTTTTGTTCTTCTTGCAGTATGGACGAAGTGACAGCTACCGGGTTGCGGTCAACCCGCGAGTTCCAGACGATGGCAGAACACCGGACGGGCGGCCTAGGGCTCGGCGGAAGGCAGGAAAGAAGGAACAGGACTTGGATGACCTCAAGCAGGAAGTTAGCATGGTGAGTATGCTTCAAGGCTGTGCTTAGGCCCGCTTCAGACGGGGCAATTTCACCCAGCAACTTGACGTCGCAAAACCAGCAACACGGTCGGCCCACGTTCACACGCAGCAACCGAATTGCTCAGACTTGCTATCATCATCATTCAATTTGATTTTTCTTGCACTATTTAGACGCACAGCTATGCGCTAAAAAACATGTTTTTATATCTTTGAATGTTGTTGAGAATACTAACTCATCTTTCTGAAAAGGTTTATTTTCAAAAATTATCCATTTCAAACCAGAACCAAGTCTTTAACTGTCATCATCGCCACCACAGGGGTGTCACGTGAAAATATTGTGTCGCTGATTGGCTGCAGCCGCGCCGCTTCAAACGTCTTCAAATTGCTCCGAGTTCCTCGCTTGTTCAAACCGGACCTGATCTCAGCAATTCGTGTTGATCTAGGGAAAGCTAGGGAACAACCCGCCAGCAATCTCTAAATTGCTGGAAAAGTTGCCCCGTCTGAAGCGGGCCTTACAAAATGCAACAAAAGAGGAGGAAAAGAATAATGTTGTTGATTATGAAGAAAACAGGGTTAGCCTTGCTGACTGGACTGACACTTGTCTCCAGACAACTGGCAGGCAATAATCTTTTCTAAGCATAAATCTCATCAAATGGTCACTCCCATAAACCACAAAAAGGGAGAAAAAAAAGTTCTGCTTTTGCTCTATTGTGTTTTGCATGCTCCTGAAGAGTGCTACTTTGGTCAATATCCTAAACCAAATAATTTGGCAGCTAGCAAAAAGTATATTTGTCAAGCAAAGCTACTGTTACCAGCTTCAAAGGAACAACCAAGAGCAAGAAAGGATAATGCTCTCATGAATATATTTGTCAATTATAGACTTGACAAAACATATTCCTGAGTAACACAATTTTGAGGTAGACCATTTTCACATTTCGCTTTTATAGGATGATGTGCATTTGCTTCTAAATACCCATTAAATTCCATCTGTTCGTGCTCTTACATTTGCACTATAGTTTTTAGGGAGCTGAATCTCCATGTTGTCACTTTATATTGCTATCTTTTCATGATTTTAAGGAACATGGCTCTCTAGCAGTTGAACCCTAGCTCTCGAATTACGTATATAGTATGCGTTCACTCCCTTGCTGGACAAGCATCTCCTTTGGTTAGTTTGCAAAATATTTTATTACAATTTTTTCTTTCATGTACATAAATTGTCGTACCTCTGCAAGTTACTTGGCTGGTCAGCAATCAATACATTTTTGAAGACTCAGATTGCCTTTGGATATTCTTTCACCATGTTTTCATAAAACATAGAGCTGTGAGGCTTAAGGCCCGTTCACACTCTTCCGACCTCTTAAAACTGGGTTCCTTAAAACTTCTTACAACGAGAGGACACACTGGTGCCATTTATTGCGTAGCAGTGTAAACTTGGTGGTCCAGCATATTTTTTAGGTCTCTCGCGCATTATCCTTTCTTTCTTGGCTCCAAAAACTTTTGGTGAACGTTATAAACGAGTCTTTCTAATAGGTATTAGGCACATTTGACCTCGGAAATCCTGCAAAACCTTCGCTCTTGTGAAATGCAGTTCCAGGGTCACCGCATAGATGGCGCCAGGATGCCATTGTGTTCCCTTGTCCTAAGAAATTTTTAAACGTTTTAACAGATCTCGTCTCTCTCGGTCGTACTCGGTTGCAAGAGTGTGAACGGGCCTTTATTAAATTTTTCTGAACTGTCTCACAAAGTCATAGTGCCACAGAAAATTGCAAAAGAAATGTGAATGCAAAATCAGAACCATGGTTGTTTTACAAGATATACGCGGAGTGAGCATAAGTGTCAGTTGGTAGCTAGCTTGTACATTCTTGACATTTACAATGTCTAGTCTGTCCTTCTAACCAAAATTTGGTTATTGATACTACAGCAGGTTTTTTTTCTGGCTAGGATGTTTGTGTTTCAAATAGGGTGATATAGATATCTTTCATTGTTGTTTGTCCTCTTCACCACTAACGAAGCTAGCCTGACATTATTTTGGATACAACTGTTGAGGTCCAGTTTATTCATTTTTGTTCTGGCATTTATGGCATTTCACAATTGGGTATGATTACTTAGGGGATAGATCTGTGTGAACTGCTGGTGAAAAATTTGTGTGTATACCTGTGGAATGCAAAGTGAATTGAAAAACACACCTGCATGTACTAGTCTTTATCCATGGAATGTAGTAACATGTGCATTCTATCAAGTTTTCTGGTATACACATGAAAGACACATAGTGCAGAACGATGTCTTACACATGAAATGCATGTTTCTGTTTTCTTTTGTTCACCCTTGACAAAATTTGCTCATATGACTTATGAGAATATTGTCGAAACCATCGATCAAGTATTAAGTCTCAGCAGATACAACCAAAACGTGTGTTGTTTGACTAGTCACATCCATAGCCTGCAGGAAGTTCCTGCTTTTGACATAACATAAGGTATCTATTAATGCAGTTGTTCTCAATGCACTTTATTTAATCAGGACTCTTTTCTTGTTCCAGGATGAGCACAAGATCCCCATTGAAGAACTTTACGCACGACTTGGCACGAATCCAGCCACAGTAAGAGTGCTCAAATTTTTCCCAGCTCTATGGTGGGGTTTTATCAGCGTGGGGAAGTACTTTTAAGTACATTGTAAAAGTACTACTTTAAAGGGCAGCTCCGCTCAATTCGGAAGATTTTGGGATAATCTGATTTCACATTAAAAAGCACTAATAATAGACACTGCATCATTTGCCTCGCAAAAAATGTGGAATTAATTGTTAAATCTTGCTTTAAGTACGAGCAGAAATCGAAACCAAAACTTTAGCTTCATCTGGCAACATTGGCCGCAACATTGGCCTCGGGCCGCCAAGAACATGGCTACCACATGATACGAGATGTCACGTGATCCTCTTTGTAACGACGGGCGGGAGAGAGGCGTGCGTGTGCCAGGCACAAGTGTCATCCGCACCGCACACTTCGCCACGTTTTGGTGTCAACGGCATTCGACGACGTCTGCACAACTGCGGCATAAGCTTGTGGAGGTAGTGTCTGTAGTGAGAACGAAATTCAGAGAGGCAACAATCACAAATGGTGAGGCGATGTCGGCGGTTGTGATGTGGGATACTGCAGGGACAGCCGACTGACTCCCAAGAAGCACGCTGCGCAGGCGCGTTACACTAATCACGTGGACACCACTGAGCGCCTAGAGGGAACGTTGCTGGTGTCAGCAGTCATGCTTACCCAGAGAAGTAAAAATAAACAAAGGAACAGTGATGATGACGTTTAGCTCAATGTTGGTTACGCCCACGCCGTAGCTTTGACTGTGCTGTTGGTTCCGCCTTAAATCACCTGCTCGAGTCAGCCAATTTCGGCAACTTAGCGCGTTGCAAAGTTTGCCGGGCCGTTTAAGAAACATTTAGACAGAATTAGGTTGTAATATTTGGTGTGTCGTCTCCCTAGGTGATACTAAAGAGGACTAAAAAGTGTGCAATAACCATTTACTCTGGAGAAAAGTGTTGAACTTAATGTGACTGGACACAGTATCTTCCCTCCCTTTTCTCCTGTATGGGATACTTTTGAGCAAAAAGAAAGAACTTAACTAGGCTTGAGCAAATAGTGGATTTTGAGTTTAAAGCGAATTTGAAGTGAATACTTGTTTTGGCTGAATATTAAAAAAAAAAAAAATGGTTTCTCCAAGCCTTTCACTACTGTACCATGCTTGAACGAAAGCCCGGTTGAACTCGTGTAGGTTGTTCCCAAGCTCCCGCTTGTCCGTTTCTTAGCTAAGTGTATTTTAATCATAACAATATTCATGGACTGTAACCTCAAAGTCCAATGCTTACATTGGGATAACAAATAGCACAATGTATTTGACATCAAATTAAACCTACACAGATGCCCAGCTATACCTAATCAAGGGGATTTACTAATCTTCTCGCTCTATGCAAATAGCTTCTCTTACATCTCCAATTTGAGGGGAAAAATAATATATAATGAATGCAGGCTCTCTGGACATCTCTGCATAACTTGTAGTCTAGCATAATAATCACTATTTAATTTTGAAAATTTTACTGCAGTGTAGATATCAACATCCACAAAGTTTCCATTTGTTTTTATATACACCAAGCGCACCATCCCGCTTTGAATGTATGCTTTCCTCCTAAGCGCACGACTACAATATATTTGTACATTTCGAATTGTTGATCGAAATGGGTTGGCCCCGCTGAGCCTGCTTCCTACCGAGCACCGGTGCACCGCGGAGAAGCAACACCCTTGGAAGCGATCTCCGCTGGAAGTGCTTCTCCACAGTGCACCGGTGCTCGGTAAGAAGCGCACTCAACAGGGCTCAACCACCGCGATCATAACATTGAAAAATTGAATATTGCAGTTCACCACAAGCGAATATCGAATACCGTATTACTTTAAGTTACCATTAGAAATGTTGAATAATTGTACCTCAATGTCACTACTGTTATTCTGGTTGGTGGGTAATCTCTTCAAAAAAGTTTTTTTTTTTGTTTTTGTTTATTCCGTTTCTTTGGGTAATGCCCTGAAGAGATGTGCAGAAAGTGGTTTGCCATTACATTTTTGGTCTTGAAACTAGCCTTTAGGAAAGCCGAATGACATATAGGTTCTGAATGTTGCACATTCATTCTTTCCTTTTTAGGACATTTAACTGGAAACGGCCATGACTAGGATATAAAATGAACAAACTGATATTTGTTATTAATATAGATGGTGGCATGCCCCGAATTTAAGCATTACAGAAGCAAAATTCTTGAAATTACATTATCATAATAACCTATCTGCAATGAATATTCTCGGTATACTGCTCAATTATATGATGTATCATATCATTCAAATGATTGTGGTTAGGCAAAATATCAAACAAGCACTTATCAATCTTGTCAGATTTTAGAGACTCCAAAAGTGCTCTCATCAGCTGAAATGTTCCCCCTTTGAGAAAGGAGAATGCCCTTCTAAAAAAAGGCTTCCCTGACATGCAGTCAGAAAGGGCCAAGTATGTTGTCCGTAGTAATCGAGGCTTACTCAATGACTTAATTAAATCCTCACTTTTACTCAAAGTTTGTATTTTGGTCCACACAGTTTTTAAAAGGAAAATAATATTTTGTTAGCCTGGCTGTCTAAAATCGGGATAGGCTCATTACCTCTATAAAGCATAGAACCATTGTTAGCTGTGGTTCATGTGCCTTGGATTTCTGCAGAAAAGAGCATTAAGAGGATAGTTTTTTTCTTTCCTCAACTTCACTCCTTTTCTCGTTGCATTTTATTTTCCAAAAAGTTTCCCGTGGAAGTTCAGTGCCACTTACAAAATCCTATGAATGAAACCAATGAAAGAGGGATTATCTCTTGGCCATGGACAACCCATATAGCGGCTTCAATCAAAAGATGCCCGTTGTTCTTTGGACGTTTTCTAAAGATGTTATGTAGATTGGGTGTTTTAAATAGAAATAGGGCATACATGCAGATAATTTATGGATTGTTGGAGATCAAGTAAAGTAGTAAAACGATGAAGTCAAAAGCCTCTTTGAATATCAAGAACTGTGTCCGATGACTAACTCGGACTTGAGAAGCCTAATTCAGCATCTGTGCGTGACTCCGTGGCATTCCTCTCTTGCAGGGCCTCACATCGCAACAAGCTAGGGAAATTTTCGAAAGGGACGGCCCCAACTCTTTAACACCTCCGAAAAAAACTCCAGAGTGGGTGAAGTTTTGTAAGAACTTGTTTGGAGGGTTCTCCTTACTACTGTGGATTGGTGCGGTACTCTGCTTCATCGCATACTCCATCCAGGCAGGCACATTTGAAGAGCCTCCCGATGACAATGTGAGTAGTGTGCCCCATTCATTCCTATACTTCTACAACATAAAACTTGGCCTCAATTTTGTTTTTTCTTATGCAAAGTGTTTTTGACTGTCAGCTTTTAAATGGGTAATCAAACTCGTGGACAGAGAAGTTGCATTAGGCTTTTTTCCTTGCATGTCTTATTCTCGCTTGTGACGGAACTTGATGAGTTGCAAACAACCACTGAATGTCTCAGCATTGTTTCATATTATCAAATTCTATTATAGTAATGCTCTACTAGGAAAGAAAATAATTTGAAATGTTGTTTAATAATGGTCATTCTTTGTTTGGGTTATACTAGTTGTAGTATGAGTCATTATTGCCAGAGGAAACCAGTGCTATGTCAGTGATTGAGTCCGCATTTCAAGCTTCCCAATTTTGGGGGTGGGGGCCGTTTTTTTGAGTACAGTAGGAAGTGGATCTGGCAATAAAAAATTTGCCGAGAGTCGGAAAAGTTTAACATTTACAAAGTCAGAAAAGTTGAGTTCTTGACCTAAAGACCTGTTACTTTGTAGGTATACAGTTTTAACACAAATTGTATATCCACAACTTTTCTTGTCCTGGCTGCAACATGTCATTAATTTTAAGAAGCAGTAAAAACATGGCTTCAATGAAATTCATAGCCATATCCAACTTCCAAGCACAATGAGGCTCAGTTCCAACAAGATTTTCACAAAAATGGTGGCATTAGAAAGATTGGTGCGGCACCCTGCTTCATTGCATACTCCATTTAGGCACATTTGAAGAGCCTCCCTAAATTTGTTTCATTGGGGATGTAATATGCTGCAACATTGGCAGGGATTTTGTCCATTTTTCATGTCTACATTTTGATGCATCGTAAGAAAATATGTGCAAGGGGGTGGAGCTCTCTCTCTAGGTATGAAGCATAACCGGGAGTTGTGAGCCATACAACTTTTTCAATGCTACATCCTGTATTTCTTACTTATTACATCTTCAGAGGCTCCTGACTTCTGTAGTTGCTTGCTCACTCCTCTCTTTTGTAATTTGTTTCTTTTTTTGCAGTTGTACCTGGGTGCGGTATTGGCCATTGTAGTTATTGTAACGGGTTGTTTCTCGTACTACCAAGAAGCCAGGAGTTCAAAAATTATGGAGTCTTTCAAAAACATGGTTCCACAGGTAAGTTTGTTCCTTCTGACATTAATTTTGCAGTAGGTTAGTTATATGTCACCATTCAGAATTTACAAAAATAGGATGTGAGAAAACAATATATTAGGATTTGAGAGTCCCAGTGCCAACATGGATAACAGACTTTATAAAACGAATCGCATTGCAACTGGAATTCCAGATAAATTTAATCTTCCTATTTTTTGTATCATATAAGAGTTCAATATTAGCTATAAATCTTTGTATCTCTATGGAGGACATTTTTAAAAGGTGACTGAAATATTGAGAACAATGATGGCAGATTGCATAATGAACATGTATCTTATGAAATGTGCAAAATAATTGATACCATTTTAATTTTAGTCTGCCCGTTCCAATGCATTGTAGTTCATTATGTATATTTCTTTTTATTCGCTGTTATTATAATTCACGTCTTTTTATGGAGCACATGACCTGTCGTGTGGCAAGGTCCTTACTTTGCCCAATCATGGGTCATGTTCACTTGGAATTGAGGTTTACAATGTCGCAGAAACTTAAGCATTAAATTATCTTTAAGCTTTTCATTCTGGCTATTTTGTCTGCAGCCTAATAACAAACCAATTGCAGTGAATTGGCTATTTCCATGCAAAATTTTCAATGAAGACAGAAATACATCAGAATCATAGATAACACTGAAAAACAGATATTTGCCTCTCCTGGGCAAGCTAGCTGTGCGAGGAATGATAAAGGTTTGCTAATAGATATTGTGGCAGCGGGAGGGTTAATCAGAAACCCTACCTTTATTTACTTACATCTCTCTCTTTTCCGGAAAAAGAGCTTTTGTCAGTGGTTAAAGTTCACTTGCTGACAATGTTTTTTAATCTGGTTGTTAAGAAAGATATTTAATTAATAACCTTGATAATTTTTTAATGCACTAGCAAGTAGCAAGATGCATCATCACATGAAAAAGAGGAATGCCCTTTGAGCAGCTAGATCATTCCTTGCTTTCATACCTGAAGGAATAACTGTTGTATATGGCCTAGCATACCTAGTCTAATGTTTCCCATACACTTTAGCTTCTTTCTTTTTTTTTTCTTCGCAGTTTGCTAACCATTTACCTTGTCTCTCCTGCAGTATGCCATCGTAATCCGCGATGGCCAGAAGCTGAACCTTCCCGCTGAGGAGGTTGTTGTGGGCGACATTGCTGAGGTGAAAGGTGGCGATCGCATTCCTGCCGACATGCGAGTTATCCAAGCCCAAGGTTTCAAAGTGGACAACTCTTCCCTGACTGGAGAGTCCGAGCCTCAGACACGCTCACCAGAGATGACCAACGAAAACCCACTGGAAACGAGAAACGTTGCATTCTTCTCCACAAACTGTGTCGAAGGTGAATCCTCCAGGCCCTTTCTCACTGGTCACATGTTGACTCCATGTTATTGTGCTTGGTGATTTCTCTAGGCATTGTATTGCTACAAGGTCTATTATTTCTTAAGATGATGATGTTTGAGTTAAAGACGCAAGATCCAACCCAACATGTTTAGAGAAGCGTTTTGCATTTTTTCGGTACCTCGCCTAAACTTTATTCCTACCTTTTACAAGCTGATTTGGTGTCGCATTAGCTGTGGTCCTTCCTGCAAATGCAGCCATACAAGTTTCGGATGCATTGAGCTCATTGTGAATCCAAGCAAAGAAAAAGAATGTCCCATTGTTGCTAAGCTTCCAGTAACAATAACAAGAAATGACCTAATTGAGTGTTAATTTAGCTGAACTTGTGTATTTGCACTCTGCTAAACTGCACTGTTAACTGGTTTAAAAGTGAACAAATGATATCAAGACCTTCGGCCGAACAGTCGTGCAGATTGTAAACTGTAGAAAAATGTATTTAGTATTGAAGTGTCTGCAGCATATTTCTTCAGTATCCTCGGGTAACTTTGGTGTCACACGAAATTAAGGCATACCAATGCAGAGAGCATGTCGTCTGCTTCTTGCGTAAGAGTTGCGGTGATGGTGATGTCAAAATGATGCCGAGCTCTGATTGGCTTTGATTGAAAGGATAGTGATTAGACCTCGATGCTAGATGCCTTGAGGTCTTCTATTTTTTTTTATCAGCCAATAAAGGCTCAGCGTTCCGACATCATCGCAACCCCTGTGCAAGAAGCAGACGGAACTTTCGCTCCACATAACGCAAGAAGTTGGAACAGCTGCTGTAACTGCGGTTCTGGACCTGCACTGATAAGCTGATTGAAACCCACTTTTCTGTTTGTCCGAAGCTAATTTCTAGCTTGTCTGTCCCTAACCATCTCTCCTTGAAAAAGTCCCTGGCTTCACAAATTCTAGTACCGTACTGTTGTCGGGGGCACTGTTGTGATCCGGTGGTTCTCCTGCAGGCACCGGCATGGGTGTAGTGATCAACACCGGTGACCGCACTGTGATGGGCCGCATTGCCAACTTGGCGTCCGGACTGGAGATGGGCGAGACGCCCATTGCACGGGAGATCTCTCACTTTATCCACCTCATTACGGGTGTGGCGGTGTTCCTTGGAGTGACCTTCTTCGTTATCGCCTTCATTTTGGGCTACCACTGGCTTGATGCTGTGATCTTCCTCATTGGTATCATCGTAGCTAATGTCCCTGAGGGTCTACTAGCCACTGTCACTGTGAGTACCCTCCCTCTGTTCTGCATGTGGGGCTGGTGAAAAGGAAATTCTGGGTTCAAGCATTGTATTCTTTTGGTACCATGCATTTCGTTCACACTTCACAAAGAACTTAAGTTTGTGCCTTTCTGAGGTGCTCCCACTATGCAAGCATGCACGTAGTGGGAGCAGGTGAGCTTATTTGTCATCATACTGAAAAACCCTGGAGACCAGGTAACGCAAAAAAGATGGCAGTGAGATGGTGTTGTGCTTGTCTCCCTTTTTTTTTTATGTGTATGTATTTCCTCGTGTCCGCGATTTTTTACTATGTAGGTACCAACTCACAGTTGCAGCTTCCATAGATTAAGAAATGGGGTGTTGACAGGCCATTATGCCGTGGGTCAAAACCTGGCTTCATCAAACATTTTCACCCAGATATGTGTTCTGAAAATTGGGCTAGGCTTGATTATTCTCCAAAAACTGTAAATGACATTGCCTGCAGGCTTTCTTTGAATGCTGTATGGATTGCACCCTCTGACAATTTTATATTCAACTGGAACGAGGGTACTAGCCTTATTTCTTGTAGATTCATCGTTCAATATTATTTCAGGATTGAACTACCAGTTCTTTCTTCTGCACACTATATGTATTTACTAGCAGTATTGTGTGTTTTGATTAGTCTAGAGAAATATATCTTTAGAAAACCTCTGTATTGCAAGTTGTGATAGGAAGCATTCACTATGATGAAAGAGTTCAACACGGGTTTGGATAAGAATGCAAGAGTTATGAGCCATTGTAACCAAAACTTTAAAAAATAAAGAAAGAGCCATATTCCTTGATAGGGGAGTAATATAAAAGGTGCTACTTTCCCATTAAAAATGCAAACTCCTTAAAAAAATTAAATTGTGTAATTACTGCATTGATGTGAGAGGCATGAGGGAAATATTTGAAACTTGCCTCTCTTATTAATTTTGAGGTCCTCCACAGTTACGAAACAAACATCTTTTTCACCAGTGCGATGGTGGACAAAGCTTTAGCAGTCCATTTTAGCAAAATGGACGTCAGAAACTTGTCAGTGCATTACGAGAGACAACTGACTATGTTGCATCGTGAAAGGATAATACTTAAACAAACTAGTCTGAAGAACAACTTTTTTTTATAGTACATTGAAATCTAGAATTACCTTTGTTTTCACTGCCATTTAAAATACACAGCTGTAATCCTAATTTTCGTTGAAATAGTAGGGCAATTCATCTCGTGTATCATCACAAATAACTAGATCTGTAACATAACCTTGCAATAATACCCTTGGTTCATTGGCCCTCTAGGTTTGTAGGATTATAGAGCATAAAAACTAAAAACGTGAGAGAGAATAAAAAAAGAAGAAAGTTGTGGAGGGGAAAGGAAACAAGCAACATTTGGGTGGTTATCCTTCATCAGACTATGGGAAGACTAAGGGAAATCAAGGAGAAGAATGCGAGACCCGTAACAACATGACGCCAGAAGACTATGAAAAAACAAAACAAAAAACGAGAAGGGCACCACAGCAAATGACTACCAGATGGGGAGAGAAGGATACCGTGAGGCTCAAAACTACCATAAAATACTGCGGAAGTGCCCACTTTGTTTTGAGTGCCAACTATTGACATTTCTAAAATTTTGGAATGCTGTGAATTATATGTTAAGCACCCATTCGACCGGACAAGTGCCCATGTCTAGATTTACCCTGTTTTCGGTGAAAGTGAGGTGGGCACCCACGGCATTTTAAGGTAGCTGCAAACTAGGAAGGTTGGGGGAACGAAGGGAAGTGGGAGAGGTGGTCAATTTCGGAGGAAAGAGTACATGTATTAGTAGCCAAAGCTGAGTTTATTGTTTGAGCCGTTAGGCAACTCAGCGCAGAAATTAAAGATCAAGTGGTTTTCTTCTTTCTTGCGAGAGTAAGAGCGGAGGAAGCAAGATATAATGATGCAGACACACGTATTCAGTTAATGGTGTCCATTTTTGAAGAAGTGGTCTGAAAAGTGCAGGAATATGTTAAGGCATAGTTTATTATACTTCGTTTCAGCTTCGGTCCGAGCGCGGCCACTGTTATGAGACGAAGGGCCAATCAAACAGCGAAAGAGGCTTAACGTCATGGCGTGCTCTTTGCAGTTGATTGGACCAGCCGGTATTCGCCGTCTCACTGTGCGTGCTCCTCCGCCGGCTAGTCCTATCAAGCGCAGAGAGCACGCCATGACGCTGCGCTTTTGCGCTGTTTGATTGGCCCTTCGGCTCATAACATCGGCCGCGCTCGGTCCGAAGCTGAAACGAAGTATAGTGAGCTTCAGAGTTACGAGGTGGCAGTGCTGTTGAAAACGTTCTTGCAGCTTGCAGTTGGTTTTGCCAACTTAAAAAAGAGTTTCGGGTCATGCGGTACAGAAAATTGTGTAAGGGATGTTAGCAGATTTGTGGGTTTATGGGCCCAATGGTCGCCTACCGCAGTGGTAGGCGAGCATTAGTGCCAGTGTATATGTCCTCCTATTCTGTTGCGCTTACTGATCGGTGGCTGTGCTCTGGTGGCTGCAGGTTTGCCTGACTCTTACTGCCAAACGAATGGCTGCCAAGAATTGTCTTGTGAAGAACCTGGAAGCTGTGGAGACCCTCGGATCGACGTCTACAATCTGCTCAGACAAGACCGGGACATTGACACAGAATAGAATGACGGTGGCCCACATGTGGTTCGACAACCAGATCATTGAAGCTGACACCACTGAAGATCAATCCGGTATGCAATCATGATTGCGTTGTGTGTATGTTTAAACATTGGGAAGTTAATGTCTCCTCCACAGATAAGAAATTTATTGAGTGCAGTACTGCTGCTAGTCAGGAGTCTTTATTGTGCACCACGTTGTAGTGATACATGACCGTATGCCGGAACGATGCTCATCCAGATCCAAATGGGTAGGGGTGGGGATTGAGCCCAGGATCCCTGAGTTCTGCAGGGCGAGCTTTCGCTCCACGTGCTTAGAGTTGTTGTGGAGCAACACACTTTCTTGTGATTTACCGTAAAATACCGAGGAAGCGCCCATACCCATACAAGCGCCCACTAGTAGCATTTTCGAAATTCGAAAATCTGGGCTAGTACACATCAAGCGGCCATATTCTCGGAAGTGCCAGCATTCCCGGCAGCCACCGCGGCAGGCAGCCTGCCGAAGCCCCGACATCGACGATTTTAGTGATCGACCAAGCGCCGATACACAAGACGAAGGCGGTCATGGACACTGCAGAAGCCTCCGCTACGAACATTGTGCACATTCCAGGAGGCTGCACTGGAATTATACAGCCTGCGGACGTGTATTGGAGCAAATCGTTTAAGGAATTGCTTTGTACGTCATGGGCGGTGTTCATGCGGAAGGGAGACAAGCCACCAAAAGGGAACCTCCGGGCGTGAGGGCGGTGAGTGGCGTGAGGGCCATGAGTGCGTGAGGGGCGCGAGAGGTATGAATGCTGAGGGAAGGGAGACAAGCCACCAAAAGGGAACCTCCGGAAGCCTTCGAGGCAGGACGTCCTCAACTTCGTGTCAAAGGCCTGGGCAGCCGTGCCCAAAGACATGATCGCCCAATCTTGCAAGGGGTGCGGCATCAGTGGCGCGCTGGACGGTAGCGAGGATGGCTACCTGCAGAACGAACTTGCGAGCATCGGAGCACCCGCAGCCTTCTCCAATCCCGAAGGCGTCAGCAAGAAGTGCGTAGACCTTGTCTTTTGCAGTGATTCCGAAGAGTCATTTGACGGATTTAGTGATAACGAGTGAATAATGACGTCTACCAAGCATCTGTACAGCAGAAATAAAAGAGCCAGGCTGGCCGCTTTCTCTGTTTCCACGGCTCTATGAGGCTCTTTATCAACCGCCATCTTAATTTTGGCGCATGGACCTAAAAGCACCCATAGTCGGTTTTACCCATATTTCAATAAAATGGGGGTTGGTGCTTCTTCGGTATTTTACGGTTGTCTGAATACTTTGCTGGTTTGAATACAGTTACCTACAGGCCCCTGCCATTGTCGGTTTACTTTCAGCAGGTCATTAATTGGGATGAAATGCTCTTTAATGCAGGCGTGCAATATGACAAGACCTCTGCTGGTTGGAAATCCCTCGCCCGCAACTGTTGCCTCTGCAGCAGAGCTGAATTCAAGGCTGGCCAAGAAAATGTTCCAATTCTCAAGCGGTAAGCTTGTTATGATTGACGGTTGTAGCTCCTTTGCTGCATTCCACTTGGACGTGAGCTCAAGAGGCTTGGCTGTTAGACCCTTGAAACAATTCTGTTCATGCAATCAGAGTTGTTGATCATAAAAGGGTGTGAGATAGTATGTAGTAGCTTTTATAGCGCAGCACTTGGCGCCCGTTTCCGCGTTGAGCGGCGTCACCGTCGGTGTGACTGTGCGCATTGCATTATGGGACGTCAGTTTCTCCGCTAAATTTAGCGGGGAATTGAATTGGTGTTGAGGTTACATGACATTAATTTTACAGCTAAGTCTAGCATAGCAACTAAATTTGCTCATGGGTGACGGGACGCAAAGTCATGTGACACCATTTTCCCTGCTAAATTTAGCGCGAAATAGAACTGGTGTTGAAGTCATGTGGCATCAATTTTCCAGCTAAATTTAGCGGGTAAGCTGTGGGGAGAGGAGAGGGTATGGAAAAGGAAGAGGAAAGGTTTTGGAGGAGGAGAGGTTATGCAGGAGGAGGAGGGGAGGGTATGGAGGAGGAGGAGGAGGAGGTGGTCAGGGTACGGAAGAAGAGGGGAGGATTTGGAGGAGGAGAACTCGATGGAGGAAGAGGAGGAGGGGGCAGAACCAGTATGTTTGGAGAATGATCTATATTTGTACATGCATAAATATTTCTTTCTCAAATTGTTTTGCACGGTATATATCGCAAAATCAAAATACCTCAAAAGCTGCGCTCTATTTTTGCATTAGAGATTTGTAAAGTTCATTTTTTTGGCCAATTTCTAGGTTTGTTTCTTGAATGCTAATATGCAACCAATATAGTGTCTTTATTTCTTTTTCGAAGTACTGTCAACACCTTTTTCATTTTTATTTTTATATTTGTAGGTAAAATAAATTGCCCTAAGGGTTCCAATGAGTCAAATATGCAATGTCTTACTTCCTTGTGTGCAGTCTACTTTATCACAAAGGAGATACAGCTATTCTAAGTGACTAGTGTGACATATTCAGTAGAGGCAGCCATAGAAATTCATTTTATAATAGACCCAAATGAAGGTTTGCAGTAATAAGCATCATGAGAGCCAATCTGACAGTCCTAAATAAAGGTGCCATCTAACGGAGCAGCCAATCAAGCTATAAAATTTCAATTACATTTTTTTTCTTACTTGCTTCTGTCACTCAGATGCGAGTTCCAAACGGACGCAGTTCAGAAACTTAATAGTTTGTGTTGGAGAAAAAAGTTTATTAAACAATGTAAGTACGTACTTGAGTGGTAATTGGTATAGAAGCATCTCTGAGACATCGATAAATCTTGCATAACCCTGGTGTAAACGAACAACCTGTTAGGCCTTGGAGAAAGCAATTATCAGCTAGCATGGAAGTAGAGTAAGCACGCTCTTGTGAACCTGGTGCTGGGCTTGTCTTGCGCAGTGACTGCACTGGCGATGCTTCGGAATCCGCCATCCTGAAGTGCATGGAACTGGCCATTGGCAACGTTAATGCCTACAGGCAAAGGAACCCCAAGGTGTGCGAGATCCCATTCAACTCCACCAACAAATACCATGTAAGTTGCCCTTCATGCTGTGCGCCTCTTCAGTCGACCTGCCAGACTGTTCATTGCTGACGTTAAGACCAGCAACTTTTGTTCTTCATCAGCTTTGTCTCTTAAATGCAGCCACTTCGTTCCAAACCATGTATAGTTTGACAGGCAGCCTGCACAACAAGCTTAATATTACACAGCAACGATTCCTATGGCCTGTGAGGGTGTGCACGTCGGATTAGGTACTATCGGGTTCGAATGAAATGCAAACGCTGGAGCGAGTGCCGTCAACACATGCTGCACCTCCTGGACGCCTCTGAAAACTGATAAAACTGTGGGGTGCAGCACAACCCAAGCTTGGACGCTGCACCGGTAGTGCGGTTGAAGTTCCGACACTGTTCGCATTTCATTAGAACCTGATAGTACATGCCATCAGAGCGCCCCTCCTCACTCAGCAGTTTTACCAGTTCCTAGGAGCCTCTAAGTAGTCCAGCACGTATAGAAGGCCATGTATTTTGCCGTTCACGTTTCATTCACACCCGGTTGTGCAGACATGCAAGATATACTGATGTATTGAATTTACTCGAAAAATGAACCCCGCAATGGGCATCAATATTTAGACATTTTTTTTTTACCCTCACGTAATGAATGCACCTCCAATTTTTGGCTCCGTGAGTTTTGAACTGCGTCTTGCCCGAACAGCCACCAGGCCCACCAAGCCAATTTTATTTTGCCACCAAGTGGCGAAGCCAAGCCAAGCCAAGCCAAGCATAGCAAAACACGCTCTGATGGCTACAGGTGTGTAGTTTCGGAAGGGACCAACTGTGAAACTGAGCAGCGCGCACACCTAACGAAGTTGAGGTCGAGGAATGCATTAATGTCAACAAACACGTGATCGTCTGTGGTCTGCTTTCGGACACTGAGTTTGTGAAAGTGGTTAGGCCTAAGAATGACGCGTCGCGCTCCGTGCTGAGTGTGCTTCATAGGGTGCTTTTCCTCTGGCAAAACACATGCTGAAAGCGCCTTAAAAAGTTTGCAATTTATAGGGCATGGTTAACTGCAGCGCCCACGATCTGTCATGGGTGCGCCTTCGTCAGTGGAGACTTGCCACAGTACCCTGCCGTGTCGTATTGGAACCTAAAATGACATTTGCACAAAGTGTGTGAATGCAAAAATTTACCCTGCGCGTAATATGAACACACCCCCCAAATATCTGTCAATTTTTGGGGAAAAGGAGTGTGTTCATTATGCGAGTAATTACAGTAGTCAACTTTTCAACTTTGGCCCAAAATGCTCCACATACTCTGGAGATCTGTCATGGCTTAAGTATTGCTCTCTACTTTTTGTTTCTCGCACAATCTTGCATGATTTCGTCTTCATCCACCCAAGGACTGGAGCAGCATGGTGCTTGTACAGACATGCGAGATAATGGTGTAGTCTATAGGTTTTCAAACTGGGTTCACAGGGGTTTCTCAGAGTATCCTTGAGGCCTTCCCCGACCTCCCGAAACAGGAAATAGAAAACGTTTTTTCCTGTTTAAGCATTATAGACAATTTGAGCCACCCACTGATGCATGATCTGAGCCAATCATTCCCTAGTGTGTGAACTATCGTTGAGAGGGTCTGTACACTTCTGCACTGCAATGATGTGTCAATGCTGAAATGGGGGTTGGTTCCTTAGCTATTCATCAAGAGAGAGTGAGGGAGGTTTCTTAAAATTGGAGAGTTTGAGAATTTCCAATGTAGTCGACGTCATTTCAAAAGACCCCACCGTGCCTGAAATATTGCTCTCCACATTTTGTCTCCTTTCACTATCTTGCATGATTTCGTCTTCATCCTCCGAAAGTTAGTTGCAGCATGGTGTTATACTTGGTACGGACATGTGAGGTATTAGCTTAGTCGACGTTAATCTGAAAGACTTTACTGTGTCGTAGTTAAAGTGCCGCCTTCCACTCGCCGTTACTGCACGTGACTCTAACGTAACCGCAACCCTCGTGTCACGTGTGTCCCCTTAGGTGACCGTCCACGAGACTGAAGACCCCGACGACCCGAGCTACATCATCCTGATGAAAGGAGCCCCCGAACGTATCCTGGACCGCTGCTCGACCATCTTCATCAACGGCAAGGAGAAGGTGTTGGACGACGAGCTCAAGGAGGCCTTCAACAACGCCTACCTCGAGCTGGGCGGCCTGGGCGAGCGCGTCATCGGCTTCTGCGACTACAAGCTGCCCACGGAAAAGTACCCGCCGGGGTACCCCTTCGACGCCGATGAGCAGAACTTCCCCCTCACCGGGCTCTGCTTCTTGGGCCTCGTCTCAATGATCGATCCCCCGCGTGCTGCCGTGCCTGATGCCGTGGCCAAGTGCCGCAGTGCTGGAATCAAGGTACCCCGCATGGCGACCGGCATCAGTGTTCTCGTTTGCCGTTGGCACTTTATTGTCGGCTCGGTATGGCATGCGGGGGCGTTGCCTATTTGGGTGTTTTTGTGTGTCCGTATGTTATCGTGGTTAGGGCCAATGAGGGTATCTGTTATAAATGGGTTCTTTTACTGTTGTTAGATTAGCAGTTAGGCAGAAAAAGAGCTGGATTTGGGCAAAGCTTCCTCCTTTAAATTGATCATTTTTAATGCATCCAAGCTCTCTGTAACATCTTTTATTTGCTCTTTCTTGATTAGTTCGAAGAGTGCAAAACAAACAATTTCACAAAGGGGACAGGTTTCATGAGTGATAAGCCTCGTAGATGGTTTGACAGTTGCTTTAATACTAGTTGTAACCATAGTTCTGTCATACCCCAAAGAGCAGGAGCTGGAAATTCTTGTCAAGCAGTTTTGGAAAGTTCTGGAGGACCTGCACTATTGATTGTACCATAGCCAACGGATTCGTTTTGGGTAGTTGTGTGAATAGTGGATTTTGAGTTCGAAGCAAATAGTGGTCTTGGCCGAACATTTTCGAATCGTACAGTTTCTCTAAGCCTTTTGCTGCTGTTGCACTCTTAACAAAAAAACCACCTAAGCTCGTGAATTTTGTTCCCAAGCTTCCACTTGTCCATCTATAAGCTACTTTTAATCTATCTATATTTATGAACTATGACCTTAGAAATTCTGATGCCTTGGAATGGCAAGTAAACAAAGGATTTGACATAAAATAATTTTATAGAGATACTCAGCTATACCCAATTTAGGGAATTTACAAATCTTGCTATATGCAAAAACATCTCTCTAATCTCAAGTTTGAAAAAAAAAAAAAAAATTGATTGATGTACACAGGTTGTTAAGGCATTTCTGCCTAACATGTACTCTTGCATAGCAGCCACAGTTTAATTTTGAAAATTTTACTGCAATGTAGATATCAACATTCACAAAAGTTTCCGTTGCTTTTCAAATATGCCAGGTGGCTGAGGCGCACCCACGCTCCGTCACGTTTTAAAAGTGCTTTTCTCCCAAGGACGCAAATACGATATTCATACTTTTTGTTGATCGCGGTAGGTTACCCCATTAAATGTGCTTCATACCGAGAACTGGTGTACTGCAAAGAAGCAACACCCGGGGAGCTCGCTTCTGCAGGCGCTGCTTCTCCGCAGTGCACCGGTGCTTGGTAAGAAGCGTGCTCAGCAGGGCTAACCCACCGTGTCAACATTTCGGAAAATATGAACATTGCAGCTGTTTTCGAAGCAGGTATTGAATACTGTATTATTCAGAACTACTATTACAAATTTTGAATATTCGCACAACACTAGTATTGGACGTTGGGGGCTGACGGGGCTGTTTGGTGTTTTCTCGCCTGTTCAGGTTATCATGGTCACTGGTGACCACCCTATCACTGCCAAAGCCATTGCCAAGGCCGTTGGTATCATTTCTGAGGGAAACGAGACTGTTGAAGACATTGCTCAGAGGCTTAACATCCCAGTTGAAGAAGTAAACCCAAGGTGAGCTGGTTTCACTGTGATCTTTGTAGATGTTCAACTCTGGTGCTAGGTTTGCGAGCCACTCGCATTCAGGCTGCTTCTTGCCTTCTGTTCATGACCTTCCTTTTAGTCTAAAGTCTTTACGTGGAATGGTCTCCAAGAAAGGTGAACATTGCTTCTTGAAAGTGCCAGTTGCCTCTCCATCTCTTTTAAAAATTCGGAAAAAAAGTTTTATAGTTTAGATGAGTTACTATAAACCCAAATTGGTTGCTTTGAGGCAGTTGAATTGCGCAGAGAAGCTTGCTTACCATCTCATTTGCCTTGAGATAGTGTCAGTACTCGAAAATCTTGCACAAGTAAATGGTTCTGTCCACACATTTCACATGCCACCGTAATCTTCAGTAGATGTTTCATTTTCTCTTTTCTACATAAATTCGAAACAAAGGAACAAGTTCACTTCATGTTTTGGGCATACTACTAGACGCCATGATACCGCACACAAGCACTTGCACACTTATGTGTACCATTGAAACCGCTGCGTAAAATTTGAGTGAAATAAACTATTAATATAATTTATTTTAAATAAGTGGAACTGTTTCTGTTGTGCAGGGATGCCAAGGCGGCTGTGATTCACGGCTCCGAACTCCGAGACATCACCCCCGAACAGTTGGACGACATATTGCGATACCACACGGAGATTGTGTTTGCCCGTACCTCTCCCCAGCAGAAGCTGATCATCGTAGAGGGCTGTCAGCGCCTGGGTGCCATCGTGGCTGTGACTGGTGACGGTGTGAACGACTCCCCAGCTCTCAAAAAGGCCGACATTGGTGAGATCCAGCTGTGGCCTTTTTAGCCCTGCAGCTTTGTGTAGCCGAGGGGTTGAAGAGCTAACGGACCCGGATTGCTGCAGGTGTTGCCATGGGCATCTCTGGCAGTGATGTCAGCAAGCAAGCCGCAGACATGATTCTGCTCGACGACAATTTCGCATCCATCGTCACAGGTGTTGAAGAAGGTGAGTGCCGTTGTTTTGAAGGGTCATGACGTTTGTAAATTCGTGCCTGGGGGCCTCTAAGTTTAGAGTAGATGCTGACAAGTCTGCTCGGAGGCCATTCTTGCTCAATCTCTCAATCCTCGATAATGCTGCAAATGAGTTAAGTTTCGTGTGGACTTTATTTTTGTGAACATAAAACAATAAGCTGATCTCACTAAGCGCGCGTGACGCCACCATAATTTTAGTTTACGGGAGGCGAATGGCGATGGGGGGGGGGGGGGGGCACGGGACGGTTTGTGGGGTCTTGTACTCTGCATGCACAAAGCTCCAGCGAGGTTGTCCTACGTGCAGAAAGACTGAAGTTCCCTCGACGCTTTGCGGCAGTCGCATTCATAATAAAACTGGCTTTTAAGATCGGTCTATTGCAGGGATGGCCAAGCTGCGGCTCCCGAGCTGCATGTGGCTCTTAGCCTGTTAAAGTGTGGCTCGCGGCTCCCTCCCCTACCCAACCCCCTCCCCCGCCTTTCTCCCGGTCACACGAGCACTTCCTCCAAAAAAAGAAATGGAACGCGTTTTAAATCGAAAGACAGGTTGCGGTTTGGTAGCCTTGAGCGACTGCTACTTTACGCACAGTTTGACTGCTTTTGACTTGGATAGATTGGAAGTAGTTTGAGTGTCGTTTCTTGCTATAGACAAAAGTTTGCCCGCCCCCTCTGCGGCTCTTGGAAGATTGGTGGTTTTGTTTGCGGCTCTTAGGCCGGGTCAGCCCGGCTGCCCCTGGTCTATTGCATACAATGAGTTAGGTGAGCGTCTCAACTATATATACCCAACGAGCAACTGACTTCCTGTTGCAATATTTTTTTTTGTTGCCATAAAATAGTCTAAAATGTGATATTTCGGCAAATTTGTCAAATGCCAAGCCCATGAAAATGTTGTTCACAGTAAACAAGCAGATGGTGGTCTGTATCTAGAACTGAGAGCATTGTTGTTTCTATTAAATTTACTAAGTCATGCACATTTTTTTTCTTAAATTATAACCCAAACTGTACAGTTACGTTGGAACTGAAAAGAGGGGAGAGAATGACAAATGCATTGACGACGCATCTAAGTTATATTAAGAATGTGGTTCAATGTCCACGCCATCATTGTTGTTCCTCAAATTATTTATTGTCATTAAATCAATTTGTGCATTTATATATTGGCTGCACATTTTTATGGAGTCTTTGTGCACTCCTTTCTCCAGAGCTGCTTGCTTATACTTGTGCTTTCCTTGGTTTTGCAGGACGTCTGATCTTCGACAACCTGAAAAAGTCCATTGCCTACACCCTTACCAGTAATATTCCGGAGATTAGTCCTTTCCTGTTGTTCATCTTGGCCGATGTGCCCCTGCCTCTTGGAACAGTCACCATCCTGTGTATTGACTTGGGAACAGACATGGTAAGGAGAAGAAACATTGCTGGTTTCTCATTTGCTCAGTGGTGTAAGGCAAATATGAACTCTCATACTAGAATGCTATGGAAACTGTTTCTCACACTGGTGTCACTTGGCATATAGTATGTTGTAAGTAAAATGTGAGTGGGCATACAAGTCGTATCAACATTGATAAGCTCATTCCAATGTCCTCTGGCTATTACTGTGTGCCCTTTGTTCTTCCAGCAACAACAGCCGGCTTTCACAAGAGTAAAGACTCGTATATGCATATAGGCACTTGAAATTTGAAAACCTAACCAGTGACTTAACCAGCAGCAACAGTTCATAATAGGAAAGTGTGGAAAGTAGGACTGTGTAGGGCAAATGAAATGGTTCCACAGAGTGAGGAAGGCATGCCTTTTAGCAACCATAATCTTGTATAAGGCTGCTGTCTGCAAAGTTACCATGCTAGATTTTTTTTTTTAAGAAATTTCGTTATGATTTGGCTGGTGTTTTATTACTGAGAATAGTTGAAAAGTAGGAAAATTGTGACATCTGTGCTAATTGCTTGCTGTTGTTGCTCCCCTTTTCAAATGCAAATTTGTCACGATGCCTGCTGTTGCGCATTTGTCCGAAGTGCCTTGTTGTGGGAGTCACTGGGATTGTTATTGGTTGCACTGGTGCTCGACACACCAAATGCACAGTGTGCTAAACTGGGCTATATGTCCTTTCACCTCCGTGTGTGTGTGTGATTGTTGTTTTAATACCAATGCCTGCTTCTACTTTGCAACAAAGGCTTGGTTTCTGTTTCTAAGCTTGTTCTAAAAATGAGACTATGCCGCTTAACTGCATCCCAGTGAGCCGTTGTTAATTAACTTGCTTCTTCTGCTCTTTAACTTGTTGGGAGTGCCTATGCACTTGTGCTCACTAAAAGCCTTCTACTGTTTTTCCTGCAAGATGCTCGTAATAAAAGCAATAGGTCAGATTTATGCAGATAGTGTGCTTGCACCTTCTAATCTTGGAATACTTAAGTAAACAATAAGTGCATCGTAATCGAAATGAGGAAGGATTTGGCAGGAATACCCTTATCAGCCAAGATGATGTTGCACAGTGGCCTTATCATTCTGTGTAGTTCAGTTGGTGGAGACTTCCTCATACTGTATTTTGGGAAACTTGGGTAGGTGCCAGATGTTTCTTGTCCAAAGTTTCCTTTGTCAAGAAGTTTATAGCTCAAGGTAGACCTGCTACTGATTCGGTGTGCCTAGTGATATCTTGCAGTCTAGGACTGCAAGGTGTGACCGCCTTTGTGTGCTGTGTTTCTCTAACCCTGCTGGTGGTGGGTGGCCCGTCTCACCTGGGGAAATTACTGCATGCTGCCGTGTCTGCTCTGACCTGTGTGCTAACTGTGTGGGAATCTCTCTCTGTCCGTAGGTCCCTGCCATTTCTCTGGCGTATGAGAAGTGCGAGTCAGATATAATGAAACGAAGACCGCGCGATCCCCTTCACGATAAGCTAGTGAACGAGAGGTAACTTGAGCGCCAAAAAGGGTCCCCTTCTAACACACTTCCACTCCTCTCTCTCCCCCTTCATGAGTTTCATTCTTCCTCTCTAGTTTCTTTTCCGTTACTCCCATCCGTGGAAGTTGCTGGCTGAACCACTGTATCCGCGAGGTGTTTCTCTTAAGTGCTTTCACCCGTTACCTTGTGATTGCGCTGACGCAGCAAGCTAGCTTTGCAACAAAAATTCGTTAAATCTGATTGAAGATAATTTTTTATTCTTATCTACATGGGATGCTGTGGTTCTGCCCAGTTGCCTTTCTAGTTGCTTTTACTGTTCACTTTTCGGTTGGCTGGGGATGGTCCACCCCAAGGAGCTGAGGCCAGCACCTGAAGGTAACATAGAATGTCTACCCCCGATTCACTCGAATCTTCTTCTACAATATCTTTCCCTCTCTCTATCTCTCCCCCCTTTCCTTCAGGTTTTTATCTTCCACGACCGTTCATCTATGTCTACAGATTTCTTACTTATGCCGCGATTTCGAGTGACGCCACAGATTTCTTCCTTAGTTTGGTTTCCACCTCCAGTTAGCCTCCCTCGCAGAATCACAATCATAAATCACCTAATGCCAGAGGCAGTTGCCATTGAAAATGGCACACACCCTGTAGCAGAAAGTAACTGTGCAAATTACTTTCTTTTCTGCTTATTTTAAGCGGCAGTTCTGCAAACTGTATCTATATTTGCTCAGTTTCGGGAGCCTTGTTTCTCCGAATAAGATAGGCTAGATATTAACACTACAGGTACATATGTGTTTGTCTGTGAAGCGCGAGGTGGATTTGGCTTCTTTGAGATGCTACTCACTTCGCATGCCCTTTCCATTCACTGCTATCCTCTTTGCATGGGAAAGAAAAGTTCCTGTAATCGAGGCATTCGAAAGCCTTCTATCATAGCATGTTTGTCATGCTAGCTGCTTTGTCACTGTAATGCGCACGCATGAGCCTGGTTCTGGATTGTTTGCTTTCAGTCATAAGATATGTCTATATCCACCATCTTCATAAAATCCTGACATGCTAATATCTATATTGGAGCACTGTGTTAATCTACCTAACTGTTGCCAGGATTTTGTGATTCTTCACATCTTCTCACACCGGCACACTTTGAAGTCCGACCTACAAGCAGAAAGGAGGAAACTCTCCCTCAATTCCCTCTTTCAGTTGCAGAAAGAGGGAGACCCCCCCTCCTTTCTGCGGGGAGTAGCTCAGAGACTGTCTCCTGTGGGAGGAGAGAAGAGTGCAAGTGGGAATGTCAAGAAGGAAGCTGGGAAATGGTTTTCTGCCTGGCAGAAGACTAGTTATTCTGTAGGTCGGCCTTTAACAGTGTGCTTTTGTTGTTTCGAGGCATCGGGAAGGTAGGTTTTTGCAGGTTTTCTCTCTCCTTCCGAAAGGAACCATTGTTTTTGTATTCACTGTTCTACTCGTAGAGTGTCGTGGGTGTCCATGCCATTCTTGCACATGCCCGCATAGGGCCAGAGGCTGCAGCCACATCACGCTAGAAAATAGTCCAAAGCCCTTCCCACGGGCCATCCAAAGGAAAACACAAGAGCTGTCCTTGTCGAGGCAGCTTGTGGCTATTGTCAGGGTAGAGGGGGGTGCAAGTCGGCGCGCTCTGGTTGGTTATTGAGGCCTTACGCTCGACTTGCAGCATACATGGTAGTACAGGAATGGCTTGTGGGTGGGGCCCGGTGCATGGTGGCTGCTATCCCCCCTCCCCAAGGGGCACGAGCCCTCCCTCGTCCCCCTGTTCCTGTGTTCCCATTGGCCGTCACTTTTCTCAACGGCGTCCCGCCATCCTTGTGCCCCCTCCACAGCTGCCTGCTATTTCCCTCGCATACGAAACTGCCGAGAGCGACATTATGAAGCGTCAGCCCCGGAACCCGCTGAAGGACAAACTGGTGAACGAAAGGTGAGTGGTTCCGTGCATCTTCCTAGTTCTCTTCTTGCTTCTGTCGTCCCAGTTACTCCATGTTTGAGTTCTCGTTGCGAGTCTCCTTTTGCTGACTATGAGCCGTCTCTGGTCTCGTGTGGCAACGTGAGTATGGGCTCCTTTTTTTTTACCAACACAAACATTGCGACCTATGTTTTACTCTTTTCTAATTTATTAGCCTCAGTTTATTTAAAGGCCGACTGTGTTCTGTTGGAGGTATGAGTAAATTCAGGGTCGCTGGAATGCAGAAGAGGAAAAAGGAGATGCAGGCTCACTTTTTAGTGTCATCTCACGTGTTACTTTTTACTTCTAATCACTTTGCATGCTTGTAATATTTATCCAGTGGCAGATTACTTTAGGCTATTTTCTCTTATCTGTTAGCATGCTCATTCCATAAGAGGCACTAGAGAGGTTTGAGTTTTTTTTTTTTATAGCCCTAACTCCTCTGTCCTAGAAAATCTCAAAATTATGTTCATGCATGGCCTAGTTTCGTGTTATGAATGTGATCAAGGATTGCGACAGACCTCTTTTTTGTGCAAAAAAACTACCTTCTTTTGTGCAAAAAAGAGGCATGTACGATCTTTGATCATGTTTTAATAAGGAAATGAGCCTCTCATTATCGTAATTTAGGGCTTTTTGGGACGTTTAGAGGCATAGATAAAGTTACTGCCATAAACAGATGAACTCTGAAACCTTTTCATGCCCCTCTAGGAAAGACATCCAGCAAAGGTTATGGCTAGGAACTCCTCACTTAGAAGCATGTTTTTCTTCCCAAGAACTAGGAGTTTCTTCCAAAAAGCCTGAACTTGCTTTTGTACCTTTTACAAATTACTCTCGCAGGCTAGAACGCAGCGTAACAACCAGTTCCATTTTTATCCATACGAAGTACTGTTTACAAACAGCAGTCTAAAGTTTGAATATGTCGTTATTAGCTACTGCAGCATTATTAGCTACTGCAGAAAGCACTGTCTGCAGCACTGAACTTCTCAGCCCTTGCATTGTCGCATGCTAGGCAAAAAGCCTTCGATCTCTGCACCCTAACGGTGCTGACGGGATACGTGCTTCCCTCCGCCACAGGTTGATCTCAATCTCGTACGGCCAGATTGGAATGATGCAAGCTGCTGCAGGCTTCTTCGTCTACTTTGTCATCATGGGCGAGAGCGGCTTCTGGCCAAGCAAGCTGCTCGGTCTGCGGAAGCACTGGGACTCCAAGGCGGTCAACGACCTCATGGACTCATACGGCCAAGAGTGGGTGAGTGGCCCGCCGCTGTACCAGCTTTGCACGACTGGGTGCTCTAAGTTGGACACACAGCGAGAAAGTCGGCCGCCGCAATTGGCCAACACCGCGCTGCGATTTGTCGGCATCAAGGTGAAGCGCGGCACCGGCCATTGGAGGCGGTCAGCAAGCTTGTTGACTTTGTCGCCGCGTGTCTTATTGGAGCTCCTCGGGCAGTGTAGTTTGACTGTAAAGCAAACTTGGAAAACTATGAAACCATTCTCAAAGTTCGCCTCTGCTTGTTCAGAATGAAACCTCAAATGCTAAAACTATGGTACCGTACTGCAGGGCAATAACTCCCTCAATATATTGCCATATCTCGTTTCATTCTTGAATGCACTATGGCAAATATTGGAACTCGTTTGAGTCAGTTCAACACTGGGAGTATATAACACACTCCGAGTAAGACTTTCAAAATATGTGGCATGCTTGCACGACTGGATTGTCCTGAATGGGTTGTAGGTTTTTTTTCTAGTAATGTCTATGTATTCTTTAAAATTACCACCATTTTCAACTCTAATGTGGAAGATACCTGAATGATAATTGTTTTTATAATGCTTGTGAAGTTAGCTCAAATATGTATGCTATGAATGTGATTATAAAGTGCAGGTTATTTGAATTGGTTATAGTATTGAGGCAAGACTTGTAAACAAAGTTGTAAAGCTGTGCTTGTCTTACTGAGCCACATATTCTGTGTAAACTTCTGTGAAAATTGTTTTACAGTAATATTGTACAGTCAAAGCAGTTGTGATGATATTGGTCTTCAGCTTAGGTTATAAAGTGTCATTTCTGCCACAAATATTTTCAAAAGTGACATTTTGGATAATTTGCAAATATTAAGTTGACAAATGTACCATCTTGTATAGTATTTAACGTCGGGGTTCTCATACATTTGTATTTTTAGTGACCTTGTTTTTATTTGGCATTAGAGGTTCCATTGTGATCATTCCAGATCTGTAATTGGATAACAGGGATATTTATAAATAAGTGAACAAAAGCTAAAACATAATATCAGGTCTCAAATAGTTATTGTGTTTGCTTGAGTAATAGCTGCACTTGTTATGATCAAGGCCCTCGCGTCTACATTCCTGCAGGGCACATACAGCTAATCATCGCATTCTGCATAAAAAATGCAGCGAATAACAAGGTCAGAAACACTATTCTCCATAAAAATGTGATCTGAGCATATAGCATTTTTGCGTGAGGACATTTGTCCCGTAAATCGCTGACATTTTTCTGTCGATGAGGTGATTTGGCATCCCCGTGCTCCGAGGGAAAGCAGACTCACAGGCCTTGTTTGTAAGAAGTGCGGCTATTACTCGAGCAAATACAGTAATTGCTTCCAGGATCTTAAACACATTTACTTTAGTGATGGATAATTTTACTGGAGAGTAGTGAATTTGTAAAGTTAAACATAAGTTTTAAGCGAACAGAGATTTTCATATGAAATATTAACATTAAGCAAATAATGAGTATGGTGCACAAAGCTAATACCATTATCCTCAGTTGGCAGCCAGTCAGTTTTTATTAATTGAACTAAGCAAACAAGAAACAGGAGCTTTGCAATATGATTCAGTCATTGCTGAAAAATACACAAACTCATGGAGATCCATTTGTGAGGAAAGGCCAAGACATTTGCTAACAAAAACAATTAATTTCTGAAAATTACACCACAAATCAATCTAGGTCTGTGTACCATTGCAAGGCACAAATTGCTGGTGAATTAAATGATTTACTTGCTCATACTAATGCACTTCTCTGGGAATTGTTTTTCTACAGACATACAAGAACCGCAAAACTCTGGAATATACCTGCCATACCGCTTTCTTTGTCTCCATTGTCATTGTGCAATGGGCTGACTTGATCATCTGTAAAACTAGGAGGAACTCCATTCTGCACCAGGGCATGAGGTGAGTGCCCTCGTCAAACTAGTAGCCTTCCCTTTGACGCCTGGGGCTGCTCCTCAAGTGTATTTTGGAAAAAAGACGTGTTTACAGCGTATAGTTTCTACAGGTTGTTCATCGAGTTGCTATTCTTACTATACTGAGCGTGAACTGTTGTATGCTACATTGTGCATTGTCCAGGCCAATGTACCTTCCACTGTGCTGTAGCACGTGGCTTCATCTTGTGCCTCATTTGCTTGCACTTGTGCAACTAGCTTTCACAGAATCTGAGCACAGCTGAAGCTACGCTAGCCCCGACAACGGAGCACAAAATAGTTGACGCCAAGTATAGGAGAGCGTATTCACTGGCGGCCATAGCTGTGTGCGCGACTGCTGAGCACGTGCTGGCGGCGAGCTTTTACAGTTCCTTTTGCAGCACGCATTCTGCACCATCAAGAATGCCAATCTTAGCAGCTTAACAATGCAAGCTCGTTCTGTGCATGTGCTTTAAACATTGCCGTTAAATATGGCATCCAGTGAATACCCGAATACTATTCGCAACTCCAACGCCCTCCCTATACATGGTGGGGCGGTAGTTCCAAGATGGCGGAAGAGACGGGGATAGATTCTCCAGGGTTTCCCGTGCGCCTGCTCTTTGACGCTGGTCAGTGCGCTAAAAATGATTTATTGGCCTGCAAACACGAAGTGGTTAGGGCAGGCAGGATCATATTACAGGCGACGCTGAGATGTTGAAGTGCGTTAGCAAAATGAATACATAAAATTAAAAGAATAAAACACAAAGGACAAGCACAGGACAACCACTTTCTTTCATTTAGCATTTAGGCTAAATGAAAGAAAGTGGTTGTCCTGTGCTTGTCCTTTGTGTTTTATTCTTTCAATTTTATGTATTCATGTTCAACCCGCTCGCCTGCTGATATTTAAAAGTTGCAGAAACCTTGACTTGCGAAGCTTTGCGATGGGCGAGCACGTTTTACGCACCGGCCACGTCACTTTTTGTGGCAGAATATTTTTGAGGGTGATGAAGATATTGTGTTTGCGCTCTGCCTGGCCATTAGTGCTCTAAAACATGAGCCGCGCACGGTGACCGTAAAGCTTCGGAAGAGCAGCAATCACAGTATTGATGACTTCGTGTCATAGGCTTGCAACTCGCTGCTCACCGTCTTGGTTTTAGTGTATTGCAACAAGTGATCAAACTGCTTTATGGTTATTGATTGGAAGTTTGTAACTGCGGGCTACCGTGCGGTGTAGCATTACAACCGGAGGCTCGCGCTGCGCCTTTGGAGCACAATTTTCAGCGCGTGCCAGGACCGTCGCTGTGCTCACGGTAGCCAACGGCAGCCTGCGGAAATGCTAAGCTAAAACTGCCTATTACCATAATCGGAGTGTTTAGGGGTTTTATTCATTGCACTACCAAAAATGCATAATTTAGTATACCATTTTTTTTTTTCGTATTGTGTTATTTGCAACGTTGTGGCCCCTCTCCCCGAAAACTGCCCATTTCCAAGCTCTCGTCATGAACGGCTGGCTAACACAGACGCGCTAAAAATGTTTCGAGCATTACTTTACTCATTTTGTGATTAGCTGAAAACAAGTATGCATATCCTATCTTTTAAAAGTGCTTGGTAGAAATGGTCATGTTCCTGCGGCCTTAAAACGCAAACCCATTCCCGACGTGTATTGCTCGACATATCCGTTGCGCGACCAGTTTTCTCCTACTTAGGGCAAAGAATAGACTTTTCATAGACCGAACGCTAGAGCTTTCATTATTAGCGGTAGCGTTTGCTGTCGCGTTGAACACAGATCGAGCTGGCGGTCATGCACACGACCAGAAATCCGAAGCGTATATGCGATATATGAAAAGTCCCTAATGAAATTAAACATCCCGGTCCTTCGTGCAACGCTGTTGCGAGGCAGAGCACAGGAATTCCTATTTTAACGCACTCACTTTTTTCGTTAAAACGGCTTCACGCATCAAGGCTGACAGCCCTTTTTCGCGCCGGCGCCACCGCTGCCGTCCCACTTTCTCTAGTTCTCCACTCGCCTGCGGGAGGGCGAGCGGCGAGCTGGAGTTGCGAATAGTGCATTCATTTGCAACTTTTCTAGTATGTTGTACATAACCCGAGATCAGCTGCTCGAATAATTATGGTCTTAAAATATTGTCTACTTTTAAGCCCCTTTTTCCTGGAAAGGGGTCGTTCCCTCCTCATATTCCTGTGCACTGCAAGACATATTTTAGTATCATCTCGTAAAGTGTGGGGCTCATTTTGTTTGCAGGAACCATGTCCTGAACATTGGATTAATTTTTGAGACTGCCTTGGCTGCAATCCTCTCGTACACGCCAGGCATGGACAAAGGTCTCAGGATGTACCCTCTCAAGTGAGTCTTTTGCTTTTTCATTTCCACTTGCATGCTTAAAGGGGCACTGACACCCCAAAGGTCGTATTTATTTTTATTGTCTAAAACGATGCAAGTTGTAGTCATAGACACGCAAAAAAAAACTCATCGCGAAAAAAAATTTTCCCGCGCGCGCGCGCGCCTTTTTATTTTTGGCGTTTGATTTTCCCGCCTCTCGCCTCCTCGCTTCTTTTGATCGGTGACGTCAAAAATCAGGAAATTTAGAAGCTTTGTAGGCGACATCTCTATAACATTTAATTACGGCAATCTTAAAACATGTTTTTTAACGCAATTGCGAACGCACTACGGCCCTTCTTTTTGAAATACCTAAAATCGGGAGTTCGTTGTGGTGCCGTCTCCTGGATTTGTATCCTCCAACGGAAAACAGGCGACACCGCTCAAAACCGGTCCGCCGCAACGCCGGCGCTAGCCGGCGTTCGCTCCTATCCTCCTCGCTTTGGGTCGCCATGGCAACAGCAGGGAGTGGTGACAGGAAAGTGGACTCTCAGGTGTCCTCAATTTTTGACGTCAAGGCACCGGCACCGATCGCGCGGGAACTTCGAATTCGGCATTTGGAAATTGTTTTTTTACTTCACGAATACTGAGTTCCCAAATCTCAAATTTTGAGGGTAATGTCCCGGCATCGTTTTCAATCGTTTCGGATAATAAAAAAAAATATGATTTTGATGTGTCAGTGCCCCTTTAAGGAAATGGTTTTAGTACCTTAACTGGAAGGCTGTTTTCTATGATAGACTGCAGAGGACATTGACCTATCGAACCCTATCCAATACCGTGCGAGTGTCACAAAACCATTGGGAGGGATGCAGCGGTGCCCCGTGCGCAGTCGTGCGATACTTTCAGAGCACTGAATTTGCTGGAATGGCTCGTAGCGTCCACTGCGGTCCATCATAAGGTGGAACAAACTATTGTGCTCTGTTCTAGTCTTGCATTCTGTGCATGGCATTCGGGGAGAGATTGTAGTCCTCCTTTGTTGGGGGCATGAGATGTCGTGCTCCTCTTTTGACTTTCCGACTCACACTTTGCTCTGGCGCGATCTGTTGCAGGATCAACTGGTGGCTACCTGCAATGCCATTCTCCCTTCTGATCTTCGTGTACGACGAAATTCGTCGTTTCATTCTGCGCCGCAACCCAGGAGGCTGGGTCGAAATGGAGACCTACTACTGAACACTGCCCACGCGTAGACTTTATCTTATATCTTTACCTTGTCTGTTTTTTTTCTTCCTTGTCTCTGTTTATCATCACTTTATTTTTCTTCTGCTGGGCCCCCTCCCCGGGGGGCACAAAGGTACACGGCACTTCTGGCATAGTAGCCTTAGTGTTGCTAGGGGGAGGCGAGAGAGAAGAAATAATCGTCTGCACCTTCATAGTTGGGGAGGAAAGGGGTTAGAGGAAAAACTGACTGTAAGCGCGCGCCCGTCAAGTGGACAACGAAAGTATGGCCACCGCCGTCGCCACCACCACCATTTACCACCACCACCATCCACCAACCACCAAGATACCCCTTCCTTCCAGCCCCCCTTCCTTTTTCTCGGAACTGTAGTATTCGCATAAGAGTTTTTGGTGTAGATACTGTTTTTCACCTTTTTTTATTATTATTATTATTCTGCTTCTACTTCCGTACTACTTCATCCCATTGTCAGTCTTTTCTGTTATTGTTTTTCGTGTGTGACATACTTATATGGTTCCTTCATTGGTGTCTTTCTTTTTTTTGTGTGTGTTCAGAGTAAAGGGAAAACAAGAGCAGGAAAGTGTAATGAGACACGTATATATATATTATATATACATATATATAGTTTTCAAAAAAAAAATGGTTTTGGGTGCGTCCTTACACTGCAACAAACAGCAGCAGCAGGTTTACTAGCAAGTTCACGTGCAAGTCAAAGTGAACATTCCACTTTCGTGTCCCCCTTTTTCCCCAACCTCACCACTCGAAAAGGAAAGAGAAACTGCTGCCTCAAATGGGGAGGAAATTATTGTCCCTTGTTCTTTCGGTTTCTTTTCTGGTTTTTCTTGTTTCGTCCTTTTTTTTTTTTTTTTCTTTCTTAGCCTTATCAGACTGAGTCTTTCTCCTCCATACATCAGCAAAAAAAAAAAAAAAAAAAAAAGTAGAGAGGTGGCAAAGGTTCTGAAAGAGAAAACTATGTTGTAATTACTTGCACCCGGTGCAGCTAGGAAAAAAAAAAATCCTTCGACATTTTTGGTAGCGTGTATTGTAGAAAATTCATACACTAGGTAATGGTGAGACTAGAACATGCCGACGTTGAGGTAAATACTAACTTTTTGTGGCAGGTCGTTACTGGTAGTGTACGAGAAGTTTCTTGAAATAACCATTCAAGCTGTCTCGGTTGTTTTTTTTTTTTTTTCTATCTTGTTTTATTTGTGTTTTACACAGTCCATTCTTGTATTTTTGTCCATCTCTTACGGGGGAACCAGGGCTCTAGAGAGAGTGCCGGTGTTTTGGGAAAATGAGACGAACTGTAGGTCAGCACAAGTAGTGTGCTCTTAAATGTCGGAGTGCTTTGGCAGGTTTTTACTTTTGCAATGTCTTTGTTTCATTAAAAAACTGCGGCAGTGTTATTGGTTTGTTTTCATGTGCTCTTGTACTTTCTTTGTAACACATGCTTGCCCCATTGTTTTTTTTTTGCCAGGGTTACATGCACTAACTACCCACAACTATGAAACAAAAAATGACCGCTAAAGTTAATTTTTTTACACCGATTAGGCCGAAGTGTTGACTTGCACGCACCGAACCTTTAGAAACATGTTGTGTTTGTTTTTAAACGGTAGCGGAAATTTACATTTGTTGGCCGACGAGCGTTTTCTTACACGTTTTTCCATAACGTCCCATTTCACAATGGACTTGTATAGATTCAGAATATTGCTCTAGAAAGTTGTAAAGAACATATATATACATAACATATAAATACGTACCAATTACATTTTTAATTGTGACTGTCATACATAACTTGGCGTGCTCAGTTTTGCATTTGAGGGGGGGGAAAAAATGCGGATAAGAAACTTTTTTTTTTGCGTGTGCAATGAAATGATGGTACAAAGAAACAAAAATTGTGCAAGAACGGGATATTTTTACGGATCCTTTATCAAGCTGGCATTTTTATTGTATAGAAAGACGGTCTATAGCTGGTTCTCGAAATAAACAATGAAAGGTTTCCGTTACGTTCTGCTTCCTCCCTTTGCAAATGTGTCTGGGCAAATCGTAAATAGACTGCCTGTGTTGACCCCGCTATGTTATGGGTATATTCACACAGCCACTGGTGCTAGGTTGGCTAGAAAAAAAGGAACTGCCGAGTGTGGGGAGTGGCAATATGTCCGATCAATCACCAGGGCGGTGTTGAGCACTGCCGGTTAAGTGAAAACAACCTACTTAATCGTGCACCTTCAAAGCTGGCAGATCTCTCTCTGTTATTTGCGATTCACGGTATAACGATCGTCCTTTTCGAAAAACGCGGTTCGTGCTTTTAGGTGGGAAGTCCTCGGCTTACTGGATGTGCTTGTGGAAAATACTGTTGCGCGAGTGGTGAAGATGTTTCCAAAACTGCAACCATAGGACAATAAAGCTGTTCAGGTGAACCGAGCTGTTTACTGTTGCACAAGCTACGATATAACATCTTTTTGTTTAATGGACAAAATGTGTTTATAGTTCTGTTTACGGATATGTTTAATAAAAATTTCTTCACAAAGTCTGACTACCATGTTTCGGAAAAGACAAGCAACAATACCTGCCGAGGGGTCAAGCTTTCGGATGGCTAGTCTCCAGCACGCGCTCGTTGCCTTAACAACGAAATTTCAGCACATATTTTATGGTCTGTGTTCAAAGGAGCAGTACGTATCACGTCGGACACACCAATATCTTGTTAAAAAAGACACGAGAAGGAATTTTAAAACGAATTAAACGATTAGCAAAGAGCACCTGGTGGATGTCGCTAACGCCTCGTTTGTAATGCTCCTTTTTTTGACAATGCAGTGGGAGGTACAGGCCCGCGTTCCCTCTCCCATTTTGAGTGTACGCAGGCTCTCCTCCTCTCCCCATTTCCGGGGAGAGGAGGAGAGCCCGCGCACACTCAAAATGGGAGAGAGGACGCGGGCCTGTACCTTCCACTGCATTGCCAAGAAACCTTGAGAGGTAGTGACGGTTATTGTCTCGCCTCCGGCCACGACGAGAGAAGAGGGGAAGGAACTCCCCTCTTCCCGAGAATTCCTTTTGTGTGTCCTAGACGTCGCTATTGTCCCTCTACAAGATTAACCCGTCACTCAAAATTCTTACAAAAGCAGCCGCTTCGGTGGCTGGAACGACTAGGCCATCCTCTCGACGTCAGCCTCGCGGTAGCTTTGCTCGTCCCGAGACGACCTCCGTCACGATTGCGTCGGATGTCACTTGCTCTAAGCTCGGCCTTCTCCGAGCGCTTGCCAGAATGGGCCGTTTATAACAAAAAATAGAGCCACCAGGATCAAAATACAAACGTGCGATTGTCGTTCATGGATATTGTGAATCATATTGAACCTATTTTTGAACACGACGGATATATTTTAAATTTCGTTGAAGTATCCCTTTAATCGCTTAAGTAGTTTGCTAAAGTTTCGCCCGCCGTTACTAATGCTACAAGCACGGGGAATGAGCGCTCGTCGCAAACTGTCCATTGGACAGTTTGTCAACAAATTACTAATCGCAATTTTCAGTATCTAGCTATGTTCCATGACGATTGTGTAGTTAGAACAATAGAACGGGATGCTTTAATAAAAACTAATTTGCATGTAAAATTGTGTAATGCCGGAGGATGTGCACAATCGTCCGAGCATTGTTGTGACCTAGGTGTTCCCCAGGAAGCCTCAGGCAGGGCCAGGCCAGGACCGGATCCGCAGGACGATTCCCGGCAGGAACATCACGAGACGAGAGTATCTCTCCCGACAAACTCCGATTTAATACATATATACAAAGTATCTACGTCGTCCGAGAGCACCCTTGCGACCTCTTGTGCGCTCCTTTTATCGGGTCGCTCTTCGGTGCTCCAGGAGTTGACAGCCAATGGTTGCCGAGCTGCCAGCAAAGTCATGTCCAGGCCCCGCCCCCACTGATCCCCGAGCACGCGCACACACACACGCACACCTTGCAGCGGTGTCCGGGCTTCACCTTCCGGCGCCGAGGTACCCTCTCCCTAGACAAGCCGCGCCGAGGAGGCCACGAGAAAGGGTCCATTGTCCGCCCGGGAGACGACGTTGACCGAGACAGTGAAGATCCCTCCATCAGGCGGCGAAGTGGCGCAGGAAAGGGCTTGGCCGGATTATCCGTCCGTAGCGTCGGAGGCTAATCCGAACCGAACACACCCACGGAGGTCCCGCAGTTGGCGCGCCGTCACCCGGAATCTTCGCCCGGTAATCCCCCGATCGATGCCAGCGGACAGATACCTGGGGCAAGTTCGTAACCCCAGGTAGATTCGGCTTCCAAATCTAATTGTCTTTGGTCACATATTGGTGGGTGTAGGAACAAATGGTCCCGGAACTAATGGTCCCAAGTCCAAGGTAGGAAAAAATGGTCCCGTAAGAATATCGTTTAGAAACTAAGATGCACCATGCGATATACTTCATCCGTTATGCAATCAGTGAATTCCTGGTGGAATGGAGGATCTCGTCTATATTTTGAGTCCGGTTACTTCGAAGAAAGTGGTCGGGTATTGAACTTAATTTTCTTTAAAATCGTCAGGATATTTTCGAAATGAATACTGTCCAACAGTTATCTCCTAACTGTTAATTTAGTGACCTTATACGATATTATAGGAGTTATTACTATTTTCATATAAGGGGCTTTAGGATATTTATAGTATCAGTAGGCTTTTTTGAAACAATAAAGTAAGTACCCTTAGTCATTCTGTTGAAGCCTTGAAACTCGAATTACTTCCATCTCGCCATGACGCGTGATGGTAGCACACAGAGCGAGCGGAGCTCGATTCCTTTATAGGTAGGTGCATTAGGTTTCCATGCACATTTGATGTTCCTCCATGTCTCTTTAACCAGATCAGCAACTGCACGAGCTATAGGTTAAACTATATTTTACGACAAGATGTTCAGAAATTATACAATTTACTGATAACACATATATGGACGTGCCTTAACGTCTTATTCCTGGTGTTAAAAACCGAACAGTGCGACTGACACCTCGAAGGAATTCCTCCATCGTTTTTGCTCCCCGGTCCTACTGGGCGGAGAGTCTGCAGTCGGCGCTGCATCTGGACCGGCGCTGTTTTTGTTTTCTTCTCCGTAAAAACTCCTGAGCAGATTTTACGGACACAGATAAAGCTTCCGCCCGTAGGGCGTCGATCGCCTCCCGTACAGTTGGATGGCTATGCCCGACTATGCTGCTGAATCCCCGGTTACATGCCTCGCAGTTGTTTTTGAGTATCTTTTTTTATGTAGCAGTGTTTTTCAGCAGTATATTTATATAAGCGAGCCCCACTCGATTATTGTCGTAGAGAAGCTACCTAACTTTTCTTTTTTATATGGGCTGAAAATATATTATTTTCTGACGCTTGTAGCACAAAAGTAAAAAAAAAAAAAAAAGAAGAAAATCAACGCAAAACATTTCTGAGCTTCCCAGAAAAATATAAAAACCGGATGAGTTCGTGCAACCGGCAGCATCGAAATTCGGAGCTTTTCGTATAAATTGGAAACCGTAAAATGTTTTACCGGCAAGTGTTATTGGATTTTATCGGATTTATTCGAAAACGCGAAACCCATATTGGCAATATTTATCTGGGACCATTTTTTCCTAGTTTGTACTTTGGACCATTAGTTCCGGGACGTTCCGTTTCCCCATATTGGTTTATGTGTGGGTCCGGTCATTTCATCGAACGCCGTTTCATCGAACACCGTTTCATTGAACGCCGTTTCCTCGAACGCCGTTTCATAGAAGCCGTTTCATCGAACGCATTTTCACCGAACAACGTTACAGTCTGTAATATTTTGGAATTTAATTTTTATACACAACTTCATCTAATTCTTTCTGTTTTTTTTTTTTTTCTGTTTTTATATCACTGGGTGCAGTGACGAGATAAGTTCCATCGTGAACATATCCTGCTTCGAGAAGAAAGCCTCCATGAAACAATCACCCCTCTCCATGTCACATGAAACAATTAAAAATAAGACAAAAAGCACAGACACTTAAAAATGTTTAAGTGTCTGTCCTTTATTTGCAGTGTCGTGGTTCCAGTCATGTACATAAGTAAAGCTTTTCATACCAAATTGTTTTTATTTCTTTTTATGCCAATTGTTTTTATTTTTAGTAATTTGACACCACCTTCAAAACATTTCACAAGTGACTACCTTAGTCTTAACAAATGCGAAGTGAAACATCTATGAAGCACTGTTATGCCCCAAAACTCGGTAAAGAGCCATAACAGAGAAATTCAATGAAACGGCCCTTAGCGAAATAACGGGGTTCGATTAAATGTCCGTTCATTCGATGAAACGGCGTTCGAAGAAATGTCCGCTACCCGTTCATGTGCATGCAAAATTTCAGTACAGACATAATATATGCAGAACTATAGAAGCTAAATACGCTGAAGTCTAAAAATCGTATGCGGTCTGGTAAGTACAGTACGTTGAATACCCGGTGTTTGGAGGAGAAAACAACCGTGTTTTATCACCATAAAAGTAAACTACGCGTAACCGAATGCTCAGTCTCTTTCAAAGTTTGTGCTTTCGGCTAAGACCAGATGCCAATTAGCTTAAAGGGCATGCAACTCCGTGCAATTCCGAAAAATTTAGGCTTACATGTGATTCCATTTCACAAAGCACTACTACAGTGTACTAGAATACTTGGGTAGTGTTGGGACCGGAGCGGCTCGGCAACGGGAGCTCGTGAGGGCGCGTGTATTGACAGTTCGTGGCGGCGCTGTAGTCGAGTTATCCGGCTCGCGCAGCCCGCCTTTTTTTTTTTTTTTTTTCTTTTTTCTTTTTGAGCGGTGCATGTATCGAAAGCTA